ATGCCCATTTCCTATCCTCATGATTACCCGTTTTCATCTCTGATAAATGCCCCGTCTGTTTTAACATGTGCCTATTTTTCTTTTTTGATGAGAGCCACTTCCCCTTCTCATAAAAGACCCTTTCACCGCCAATAAATTTCCCTATTAAAATATGACAGGTGCCCCTTTCCTTTCAACAAATGCACATTTTCCTCTTTTTTTTATATGGGCCCCTTTTTCATATCTTGTCAGTGTCTCTTTTCAGGTGTAATAAGTTGCCCATTTTCACCTCTGATAAGTGTCTACAGCGGCGGATTCAGGGGCCACGCCCCCCCCCCCCTCCCCCCCCCCCGGTAAAAAAGGGGAGGAAGGGGGGGAAAGAAAAAGGGAAAAAAGGAGAAAAGGGAGGGGAAAGAAAAAGGAAGAGAGAAAGAAGAAGAAAAGAGGGAGGAGAAAAAAGAGGGGAAAGGACGAATGGGGAATAAGGAGAGAAAAGGGGAAAAGACGGAGGAGAGAAAGGGGGAAAGGAGAATAATGAGAAGGGAAAAGAAATAAAGGGGATATAAGGTTTTTTTGTTACCGGGAATGGGGCGGGGGGGGGCACGCAATTTTGCAGTGTGCATAATATGGGGTCCCTCTTGCCAGGCGTGTAGCCCCCCCCCCCCCCCCAAAAAAAAAAAAAAAAAAAAAAAAAAGCACAAGAAGAACAACAACAAAAAAGAGATGGAAAAGGGGAGAAAGAGAGAATTTTTGTGAGTGAAATTAGGCAAAAGGAAAGACATGAAAGAGAATTAAACAACGATAGAAGAGAGGTGCGAGAGCATGAGGAATTGCATTTCTTTTTAAAGAATAATGGGATAACAACCAGGGGCGTCGCTAAAAGGGGTGTGGGTGTGCGTCACCACGTCGAGGAGGCAAGAAAGATACGCCGCTAGGGTCCGCTGCGTCGGTATTCTTGCTCGACCCTCGTGTGCTATATCAATGCAGAAGTTTGAAGTCGGTGAGATGTATAATGTCGGTCGGCCGGCAAATTTGTTTCCATACGAATTCAGACAACAACGAATCGTCTTCTTTCTCTAATAATTAAATGAAGTGTCAAAGCTTCCGCGCTTTGCGCGGGAGGGGGAGGGAAGTGAAAAATAACTTAGTTCATGGCCCCGGGTTTATAGGGTTAAATTTGTAGACATTGGCATTAATATATTTGTCGGTAATTGGTGGCTAGTTTTGTCGGTAATCAGTGGCCTCTACACCCCCCCCCCCCTACTGAAGAAGGTCTAGCAACGCCCCTGATAACAACATAGTTTATACACTCGAGATAATTTTTGCAAGTACTACTGGTGAAGTACCAGACCACAGTCTTTGTGATTGTGCAGCAACGGAGCATATATACAACATTACGTCTCGTGACGTGACAGATCACTTTTCTCTAACTTTTAACCAATCAGAGGGCCTTTTTCCCAGGAAGTGCCGGTGGAGCGCCAAATGTGGTTCTCAAATTGTAAAAGATCTCTAGTCTTGGATGAGGTAGGAGAAGCAATTTTACGTCATATTACTCCAAGGAAGTGCCTAATGTGGTTCTAAAATTGCAAATGTTTCCTACTCGGGGAGGGGGTTTAGTTGGAAAGAAAATTATTGATATCGAAAGGGAATGTAAGATATTGTGTCAAAAGTGCAGAACACCAACATTTAATGTATTGCGTGACTCTATTGATAAATCATCACAAAACAAAACTAATCATGGCATGTATAAAACCGTTGTATATATTTCATCCAGTTCAATTTTTATGATTTGTTTTTTCTTCATACTTTTGTGTTATTGTGTGCCTACAAATGAACAAGCATAGCCAAAGGAGAAGTCCTGCATTACAATTCACTGTTGTTGATTTTTTTTTTGAAACTTGGAGATAGAGTTGGAATTTCCTTTTTTTTTCCCCTCCTGAAAAGTATAGAAGTATACTTGTATTTACAAATATATGTATTTTTTTTCATTTCAATATATGCTGTAAGCACTTAAGTATGAAAATGTGTTTCCTCCTAAAGGATTGCCGATATATCTTACATTTAAAAAATACAGAAAGGTCTTATAAGATGGAAAATATCCCAAAATGTCACTATCTCTATAATATTATCTGGAAGCAGTCCTATAATATAGCACTTTTCTACGTTGTGTATCTTTTCAATCATTTATCAGTATGCTTCCCAATTTTTAAACATTTAAACAGATGGTCCTGATAGTTTGTTATAGTTAAGTATATGTTACCAAGCGTAAAAGAAAGAACTGATTTATATTTTCTTTTGCAATATTTTGTATATGTTGAGTTGATTGAAGGTTTATATCTAAAAATAAATAATGTGTTAAAAACAAGATAAATTTGTTCCCATTTACTTATTCAAGCAAGAATATAATTATCTTAAATGAGATTATTTTATTGAATATTTCCAGTAGAATCGTTTTTATGAGACATAAATCTTATAACTAGAGATGAAAATATCTTCATTTTGTTTGGTTTGATAAACTTATTGGATTAGTTATGTTATATATTTTCATTGGATTAAATCCTGATGATTTCTGCAAATGGAGAAACAATTGAAGTATGTGAACCTAAACCTTTTGTAACATAAAAACTCCAATAACCATCAATCATTTTTTTTCTCCAATTTCTAATAACAACACGCATTTCAAAAAAAGTGCATGAGTATTCAGTGAGTGCTTTATCTCTTTAAAGCTCTTTTTTCCCCTCTTTTTTTTCTAACACTGCAACACGCAAGTCTCGAGAAAAGGAAAAAGTCTCAAGAAACTTTCATATAACCTTTTTTTAGTATGGATGTGAAGCCATTAAGGTTCCAAATCATTTATGTCAAAGCATTTTTTACATACCGGTATATAAATATGAAGCATGGATTCAGTTCACTCCCATCCGAACTTATGTTTCCTTGCATTTGAAAAAAAGCATGGATTCAAAGGGTTTACTGACAATTACATGATGTACATGCAATGTAATGATATTTCATGTTTAAATTATGTAATAAATATATTCACCAATGACTGCTGTGTTGAAGATATTGAAATGAATATTTTATTTACCTTTGAAGCTGATTAGTTAATTATGCCACTTGCCAATGAAAATATGATTGCCATTCTCCCTTACATGAAGCTTATAAGCTCATATCATTTTCCTTATGTACCTTAGTAGTATTAAGCTGCTATACACCTTTTCATCTATGATACACTCTCGTTCTCGTATACATGTTGCTTATTTTAAAAACATATTCTTATTGCAAATCTATTAATTTAGAGTTTTTCTAACATAAAACATTATACACATCAATTTATCCTTGAACACGTAAAGGCTCGTTCAGACATGAAGCGGTAAAACTGCAGCGTTAAAAAAAAAAATTATGATGACGTTTAGATATTAAGTTAATACGCTTCACCTTATTATATCTTATAAGGTAGAGTTTAGCTAATACACACAAAGTCATCTGAACTAGCCGTATCGGGCTACTTATTCTTACCCTTCCTAAACATAAGACACATTATAATTTCCTTTTGTTTATCTAAAAAAAAAATTTGTGTTTGTTGTTGTGTGTTTGTTTTTTTGGGAAGGGGGTGGTAGCCAAGACTTTAATCCACTTTCAAGTTAAATAAGGTTGTAAGGAAATATCTGTTATTAACTTTTTAAGGTTAAATAATTCTTTATTTCTTTCATGATGAGATGGTGTAAAAAACATGAAGTACATTATCTACGTTCACTTACACTGGTTCCATTAAATAATGAAGATTTTTTCGACCATTCTCTCTGTCAGAGTCTAAACCTAGGTTGTTTTTGGAATTAATTTTGTTAATTTCGTTAATTTTGTTTTTGTTATTTCCTTATTATTCATGAAATAAAATCATTCTAGAATTGAACGTTATTCATAGGTGTGCCAATGTTTTTTTTATAAAATTGCATCATGGATGGGGCTCGGGAAATGATGATGATGAAGATATTGATGATGGTGGTAGTGGTGATGAATGATGATGAAAAGGAAGTGAGGTATTCCCTTTCAGAGAAAAACAAAATTAAGAAATCGATATTAGAGAGAAAAGGTGAATACAAATGCAGAGACAATACACTATATCCAGAGAGAACGAGAGAAAAAGAGGCAGACTTGAAGAGAAAAAATATGTTGTGAAGACAGACAGAGACATGGATAGAAAATGTTCAAAGGTTTGTTCACATCTCTGAGAATTTTTTTGAAGCGCCTCTATACACATTATTTCATTCACCTGTAAAGAATAATGTATTTCAATAGAATGTAGACTGCATATGTTAAGTGTAAGGTAGGGCAATCCATAATGTTCGTCTTACCTAGCAACATGAACTGAGAAGCCAATCGCATTCTGACTATTGAGATACAACTATTTGTTACAGGTGAATAAAACAATTCTATTGAGGCACTTCACGAAGACGTTTGCAGTAAATTTGTTTGCATTAAAGTTGGTTACATTACGAAAATAGCCTATTCAAATGTACAAGTGGTGATATGAAGAATACGAGACAGGCCAGGGGAGTAGTTGTGTAAACAGACAGATAAAAATGTACTTTAAAGGTAAAGACCAGTATTGGAAACGCCCCAATTTCAAAAAATGAAATGGAAGCTCTCATTACCAATCATGTGAAAGAATATGTTTTGACTAATACATGATGATAAAAAAATTGCCGGGAAACCGCCTACTAATTCATATATTTGGTAAATTTGTTTCTCTCATGGTCTGTGAGAGATATAGGTAGTCCCATATACATCTTTCTGTGTATAGTGCTTGTAACTTTACGAAGAATGGGCCAAATTTCTTATCATTTTGATGATTCCAGAACCTTGCAGATGCTAGATGCTAGATGATCAACCTTTTCTGATCGATTCCACAGCGTTTCTTTCACAATGCAATCGCATGACCATAACTGGTCTTTACCTTTAATGCCACATTCGTCAGCTTTAAACTACATGTATTTCTATTCGAATAAGGCTAGTCGACACATAAACTAACACTCTCACTATCACCTGCTAATGGTAAGTAAATATGCCACTCAACCGTCCTACACTCTACAAAGCTAGATTAAATAACATTCGTTCTCCTTTAGAAATCACACAGTTGTTATATAACCTTTGTATCTGCCAGTAGTCCATATATCGATTCTTCCATTGTCTGCGCACACTGAAGGGAATCGAATGGTTTTTATACCGAACAATGGGATCAGACATAGAGAAAGTGATTCCATAAAGGTTTTACAAGGACTAGCTCTTGACTTCAGTGGAGTTTCTACAACAGAGTCTAGCAGAGACCAATTACATTTGGATTAAAAGGAAAGGTGGGCTCCGGCAGCGGATTGCCAAACTTCGCGGAAACTACATTATAAATCCTATACCAAGCTTAAATCTTAGCAGAAAGTATAACGATTTCAATCGCAGGTACTCGGTAAAACGTTAAATACTTACAGAGTAACATCATATTGTTCTTTATGTAGGGAATCTTGCAATATAGAACAATCGTTTCGGATGTCATCCGAGAGTTTCTCTCTGCTAGCGTACAACTCTCCTGGGAGAAAAGTATTTGACAACTGAAAGTACTTGACAACATCCAACTCGAAACCAATCACGAATCTCCAATTTCCTCAAAATTTCATTTCTCCTTGTCATCAAACATCGGAACGATGAAGGGGGCTTACTTCTTGTTAGCAGTTTTTGTTTTTAATTCAGTGGATGGCAAACTCACCAGGGGTAGGAATGGTCAGCATATTGGAAAGTACATCGTTGGCACACCACTTGTTTTCGCCATGAATGCAAGTTATGAAATTTATGACGGATTCAGTTCGCGCGTTTTCGACAGAAAAGATGAGCATTCAGGAACATCAAGTGGAAGTGCAAGCAACGATGAGGACAACGAGCGTCGACGTCGTAAAAAGAGATCGACGTCGTTTTCGGCAGAGGAGATCCAGGGAATTCTAGACAGACATAATCTTCTGAGAGGACAGGTTTCACCCGAGGCCGCCAATATGGAATTCATGGTAAGTCGAGATAATAACCTTTGGTAACTATAGCAACTTCAACAAGTATATTAATTCTAATTCAGTATGATTTTGAAGCATTACAGAATGATATTGATTCTGTAACCATAAAGTAATATGAAATTTATTACAAACAAAAAAGCGAAACTCATTATTTATATAAACAAATTGTACACTGCCTAATGACATCAGTGTCAAAAAAAAAGTTGTTGTTCTTTTCTTCCCCTCCAGATTTAATCATTTCCACATGACTTTGAAGTTTGTCTTTGTTCTCACATAGGCCTAACAAAATTGTACACAAAATGGATATGAGAACTGATACAGAGGAACTAACATTCGGTACACGTTACAATGGTATTGTACAATATGTTTAAAGACAAAACAATGGACACATAAGGGCATGAGTCTCATGAGTCTGTTCATTAGACAATAAAAGCAAGACTTGTCATTCACTTTAAGCTTGAGTTCGAAACCTCACGGTTTTAAAGCTATAATATATCCTGCAAAAAAAAAAGAAGATAGTTGATGAGATGGGCAATGTTTAGGTAAAATATATTGATTGCTGAAACTGCTAAGACAAAACACGTTATGATCAATTGCAAATAGGCCTATATAGAATTCTTTACAAAATGAACACGAGTCTCACTATTCGTATCTCAAACATTAACCACGTACTTTTTCATCTTATTTATGTAATGCCATATTGTATTGAAACTTACCTGAAATACAGTAAAAGAAAATATGTAGAAATAAAGCATTCCTATCAGATCCATGATCCTATGTTATGAATTAACAGATACGTTGTATTTTTCATATAAACTTGGGGGTGGTGAGGCAACGTGGTGTTATCCGTTGGTAATTAATTTATTAATGACAAAGATTTTTTCTTTCTTTTGAATAGCTGTTTACTCATTCCATGCTTACGGTTGAAATAAAAGTCCGCTTGATATACGTCACTATACGATTTTCAGTGGATTTAGCTAATGTTCCTCCAAGGAAGCTTAAAGTCCGTTAAAATCTAATCTTATTAATCATTATGACTATATTCAAATCATCCTTCATTGACATGTTATAAGTTATAGACTTATATTCTTATTAAGAATATACATTTAAAATGCAATTGTAAATTCTTCCAGAATCGAATCGTATAGTCGGATCGTATATCGTGTGAGTAAAAAAAAAATTAACACATAGACAATTGCTAATTATTTTAAAAATCATCTATGAACATTAAATTATGATACGATTTTTGCACTCTCGCAAACAATGCCCCCTGTATATCCTAGCGTGAACACATACCACACAAAATGATACTAAATGATTCGGGATAAAACACTCTTTCATAAGATGTATAATAATTTACTGTTCATAGATGATTTTTAAAATAATTAGCAATTTTCTAGGTGCAACTTTGTTGTTTTTCTATGCATGAGTGGATTTGTTTTTTAACAAACCCATTTTTAGAAGTGTTTCTATAGCCGCTCTAAGCAAAAGCTTTGTTATAAATGAAGATCAGTGAGTATAAACCCAAATGTTGTTGTGTATTGTATGATAGCGTGAATCATTTTTGGAAGCTTATTGTACATCTCGAGGTCGACTTGGGCGGATTAAACAAAATTGCCCCCAATCCCTTTTTTTTTTTTTTTTTTTTACTTCTTCGTGGTCTTCTTGTCGTTTCTCTCTCTAATATCCTTTGGAACACTTTACAGACTTCTTATTGTTTGCGAAGATCTCTTATAGTTTAGTCAATAGTCAGACCCCCCCCCCCCTCCCTAAATTTAATCATAGCACATTGCTGCATTTGTGTAAATCCCAATTTTGTTTTTTCCTAATTGAATATACTCATCCTTTATTAAAAAAAATATATAAAAATAGCGCTATACTCTTTGTAAACAAAATGGTATGATACTCTTTAAGAAGTGTACGATTATTTAGAATCACGTGCACTACTAAATTGAAATGTCAAACTATGCAGTGATTTTGCTCAGCATACACGAATAGATAATTGTTGTTTTCAATGCTCTAGTGAATTATAATTGTGAAATGAAAAATAAAGGAAAAAAATCATCTCTATATAGCCAAGCTTATCAACAAGGATGAAATCTATCATGTCTGTCATAATGTAGATGGAAATTTAGTGACCTAAATCAGAAGAATTACGCGTTCGTCCTGTTTAAATATACCCTCGCTTTCCAGGCTGCATTTTGGTTCAATTATCCTCTACTCCATTTGAAAACACCTTTTCCATCTTCTGTCTTCCTGCTGTCATTTGAAAACATGTTTTGTGCCGTCGATCGACCAGCTAGAATACTTTGAATCTTCTTATTGTATTTGATTGTGAAGGCCTCCAGTGACGTCTTTCTAGCCGCAGACCGAATGAAATCAATGCGAGAACAATAATGAGATATAAGTTTGTAAATCCAAATCATGTTCTGCATTGAATAAATTTTAATAATAATCTTGATCGATTGATTGCTTTGATAGTCACATAAGTAGCGCATATACATTAAAAAATCCTATACATGAAATAATTGTTTTTTGCTTTTTGTATCACTTGAAAATAACGAGCACTTCAGAGATCATCGCATCACATTTTCTCGATTTTCTCTGTATCATAGTTTTATAAATATGGATTGCTTTATCACATGCAGGACCTACTGCTTAAAATTTGTCATTCCTGCAAAAAATGTTTCAAGGTCTTGGTTTATTTGCTCCCTAGGATGAGCTGGTTATTTGAGAAGGTTACTTCCTCAGTTGGGAAAGCATTGAAATGATTAGCTAGAGTGGGATTCATTGACAGTGGCCTTTCGAGAAGAACTTTACCTTCAATGTTGTTTACATAACAACGGATCGGGTATTCAACATTTCAAGGAGTTAGCTAGTACTAGTAACGAGGAAGCCATAGTTCTATAAAAACTTTAATAAGCTACATACACTTTTCTAGACTTATAACAACGAAGTAAACAAGAAAACGATTAAGATTCCTGTAAAAAATAACCAAATGTACCGTGTGAGTCAAAAAAAAAAGTTTACACCTAGAAAATTGCTAATTATTTTCAAAATCATCTATAAACAGTAAATTATTATACATTTTATGAAAGAGTATTTTATCCTTAATCGTTTGATACCATTTGTGTGTGGTATGTGTTCACGCTTGGATGAACATGAGGCATTGTTTGCGATAGTGCAAAAAAAATCGACAGCACCAAATCCAAAATTCTAGGTCAATCGGATAAGGGGTTTGCGAGATACGGCCCACCAAATTTTGAGATTTTTTCAAAAATGGGGGTGGCGGGCCTACCTTTGAACCCTTGTATTTCGGGACCTAATGGGTCAATCTTCACAAAATTTGTATTGTTGGAAAGGGTATTCAATAAGGATTCCAAATCTGCCGCCATTTTGAAAATTTGTACATGTTGGGGTACTTTGACCTCTTGACCTAAGATTTGACCTTGTGGATCACGTGACCTTGACAACATTTTTCATAAAATGTAATCTCTGACATGTTCACTTAAACATATAAAAGTTTCAGAGATATAATATTTTTTGTTTAGGAGCAATAAGGATTGAAAGTATCCATACTTACAGATATTCACAATAAACCCTATCATAATGTATACAATACATGCAATATGCACAGTATAACATACATCTTCCACATGCTTTTTTGTTCTAGGCATATCCATTCTAAATGTCAGCAGTACTTGAAAAGAAAAGAAAATGACAAGTTTATATAGGCCTTAAGGGTTAACAGGATGTATGGCTTTAGGCCTCTGAGTCGGTTCTAGGATAATTACCCCCCTGGAAAATTAACCCCCAGGAAAGGTCCCCCCCCCCCTGAGGACAATTACCCCCCCCCGGACAATTACCCCCTAGGATAGTTATATGAACCCTTTCCAGCACTACAAATTTTGTGAAGATTGACCCATTAGATCCCGAGATACAAGGGTTCAAAGGTAGGCCCGCCACCCCCATTTTTGAAAAAATCTCAAAATTTGGTTGGCCGTATCTCCCAAACCCCTCACCCAATTGACCTAAAATTTTGGATTTGGTGCTGTGAGATCACACTCAACAAGTACACTAAGTTTCATCAAAATCAAAAATGGTCGGGTTAAGATTTTCAGATTTTTGGGGTGATTTGACATGGAATGACCCAGAGACCAACGTGTTTCAAGGATCTGCGCCATTAAAATCATGAAAGATGGTAGGATACGATCATGGATACGATACAGTCTCACGCGCGCAGAGCCCCCAAAACAAGCAGGTCCCAGATCTAGAGTCCGCCAACCGAGATCAAGAAGTTCATTTACAACAACAAAAAACATGGTAATGTACAAAAATGATTACAAGGAAATGGCAAGGTTGTGTAACTTGAAAAACATATTTACAAGGAAAAAAGCATGTATTAACAATAACTGATTACAAGGTTATATAAATTTAAAACATTTAGAAGGAAAAAAATCACTGACAACATAAAAAAAAACCTTAACCCCCCCCCCCCCCCCCCCCCCCCCCCCAGACTCTTTGCAGGTTTGTTCACTTTGTTGTGGACTACTCAGAGGTCCGATTGTAGCGATCTATAAAGCTCTTAGTGACACTAGTACAATTGCAGGTGAAAACCTATAGCTTTGGTTTCCTTTACTTTAGGTCTATTTGGTCTGCTTGACAAGGTTCGTCTCTACTATATAGATCTAGCTGTAATTTGAAAAATTAAAACGAAAGCACTAATTTCATCTCGTTAAAAAGGGACTTTGATAAAAATGAGCTTTCAACACATCATCAAGAGTATATGCCTATGTTTCAAAAAACATGAGGGTGAATTATGTTAGTGATATATTATTATTTCATATGGGGATCAGTTCTCATAATCATTTCCGGCAACTTGTAAATGCTCATGGGAATCACGATAATGTTTTTAAAATGATATTTCATCCTTTGTTTTGTATGATTTGATTTTCTATGTAATTTTTTTGTATGCACTTTGTCCAGTCATTAGATCACAATAGAGACATATTTGGATTCATTTAGGACATGGACAATTCTGGACATCTACTACAACATTCTTTTTCTTTTCTTCCATATTTTTTCTCTAGAGCTGGGATGACGACTTAGCCTCAATGGCCCAGGACTGGTCCGACGAGTGCCTCTGGAAACATGGTAATCCTACAAACATCTCGCCGTTCTCATCGGTAGGCCAGAACCTATGGCTTGGGACTGGGTCCGAGCCGGATGGAGTAGGACCAACACAGTCATGGTATAATGAGGACCAGTACTACGACTATGACACACACGGTTGCTCTGATGTCTGTGGGCATTATACACAGGTGAGGAGGATGATGATGTAGTGATGATGATGCTGATGAAGAAGAAATAGAAGAAGTTTATGTTTTACAGTTTCTCTCATTTAAGTGGTGAAGTGTGACGTCATCAAAAAAACTATTCTTAGATTTTCTCAATTTACTTCATTTTCCGAAAGAGCATCAAAAATAATGTCCAAAAGTCGAAAACTAATTGAATATGTTGAGTATATTGGCTGAGATATGACCATCTGAATACATAGATTTCCTATAGGAACTCAGTGTTATTTTGCTCTGGTTCATAACATTACGAGCCAGAGCAAAATGACACAGAGTTCCTTTATAGGAAATCTATTTATTCAGATGGTCATATCTCAGCCAATATACTCAACATATTCAATTAGTTTTCGACATTTGGTCATTATATTTGATGCTCTTTCGGAAAATGAAGTAAAATTTGAGAAAATTCTAAAAATGGATTTGTATGATGTCACAGCTTCGGTCTCTATACATGTACATGTATGTTTAATATTTTAGAATAAAGATGACATTCATCCTTCAGAAGATAAAATACCAAAGGTAGCCACACCTTTCATATACATTTCAGGACACCAACAGAAGTCTCACCCTTAGTAACTATTTCATTTGTGTTCGGTCTATATAAATCGGGTTATAAAATACAAAATGACAACTTCTCAAGATAGAGTTCAGTTTTAAAAAAAGCACGCACGAAGAATGGAATGATATTTTTATTTAAATACATATAAATAATGCTTCCTTTTTCAAATGTCGACTCGCTAGGTTGTATGGGATGACACATATGCTGTGGGATGTGGCCGAACCTTTTGCTCTTCAGTTTCTAACGGCTGGACGAACGCCTATATCGTCACCTGTAATTATGGACCCGCGTAAGTATGACGTCATACATGTACTTATCGTAAAAATAAGAATCTATAAAACAAGTTTGATACTATAGGTTTTCAAAGAGATTTCATTTTCCACCAACTGTTTATTGTACTCAGCCATGTTATACCTGAAATGTTATCATAGTTTTGTTTGAGGTATGCAAACATATCTGAAGGAAATTTATTTTTTAAATAGTTAATATCGTTTGTTTTGTTCATGTCTGAGGCCAACACATCAACAAATTTGAAATGTAAACTTGACAATACTTGAAATATGACTTTTGTATTCACACATTTATATCAGCCACATGTTGTCAATACTTTTCATAGAAAATCGTGACACAATACTTAAAAGAGACATTAATTTGAATCGTTTATAATATTAAACCTGGCTCTTTGTTTTAGATTTTACATGTAGGCCTTTTTCCTCCTGTAAAGGATACACACTCCTGAAAAATGAATGTTTTTATTTGGTTGTCATTAAAGTTTTTAGATTACATTTTATAGTGATTACCCAAACTAGGAATTCACAGGGCCTTTTTGTCTGATTTATGTGAACATTTTTGTATCGCTATTTTGTTTTATCAGAGGGAACTACAACGGTGTACGCCCGTATACGACTGGTAGCAGCTGCACACAGTGTGCATCAGGCATCGGGGAATGTTATGATAATCAATGTAGTAAGTGAACTGTAACAAAAGTTATTTCTAGTATAGGCCACGAAGTTTATCAATTGAAATATAATTTTAGCTCTTCTGGTAGATGACATTTGCACGTGCACCAAAGGTAACGACTGGTAGGAAATGGAAAGGGTGGCGAGAGAGAGAGAGAGAGATGGGGAGACAAAGAAACATAATCAGATAAATATATGCACAAATGAAAGAAAGAGCTAGAGAGAAGAGAAAGGGTGAGAGTGAGTAAGACAGACAAAAAGACAGAGAGAGAGAGAGAGAGAGAGAAAGAGATAGGATGGGGGAATATATAGAAGGGAAGGGAAGAACATGTTACATAGTATGTATTAGCTTGAAGAAGAAAACAATCTAGAACCGCTCCTGAACCCAACTCTAGCAAGCTATTTTCAGTTTTATGGCCGTAGAAAACAAAATGTAATAAAAACAAACAAATACATTTTAAAAACCTCTCTTTTTTTTTAAATTTCAGGATTATGTTCTGAGCATAGTGAAACCTGTGGTAAGTTTGTTTTTTCAAACCTAATTTTTTTCTTCATTTGATTTTCTTCTTGATTCTTAGTTATGCTTTTAACATTTTCTGAAAGATAGATATTTTACCATGCTATCACGTGTAAGTGAGAAAGTTATGATCCAACATAATTTATATATAATAACAGTTTAATCGTGAATAGTTCATGCTTTCATAGAGATAGTTACCTGTCGCTAGTGTACATTTATGCAATATCAATAACTGAAAAATGAAACACTAAACTGAATAAGAATCATTGTGTAGATCAAATACACTGGATAGAACTGCTAACCATAATTTTAATCATAGAACAAAAATGAGATGACGCACAAATTGCACATCAACTTAAAATGATTCAAATGACATACGTGTTTAAAAAAAACATAGGCCTATGCGTTCGAGACGAATATGAAAGTGCTTATATTCGACTTATCCAACACCTCATATTCGGGCAGCGATGTTCCCGAATATTTATATTTGTTATATAGATTATTTTGATGACGAAATAACATTATACCACAATCTATATATATATTTTTTTTTCTTTTTTTTTCTTCTCTTTTTTATAAAAAGAATGTGGAAGTTATGAGGCGTAAGCCCACTGACGAAAACGTGTTGTACGCCTATGAAAATAGATAGCAAAACAAAGTCTGCAAAGGAAATTGATTTGTAAAATAAATAGTATGTTATCTTAGGCCAGGTACCAAGTGCATATCCAACGATATATTGGAAGTTTCAAATTTGTTATGCTAAAATATTTTGTTTTATAGATTGCCAAGCCGTGTGCCAGAACTGTGGAACACTGAATAGTGATTGTACATGTACATGTCGAGACGGGTATTACGGCAGCGACTGTTCCAGTAAGTATTTCCGAAGACGATCATGTTTACATTTTAGTTCATAAAATAGAGAATGACAAACTGGCATGAATTCGTGTATCAAATACTTACTTTCTTATAGGTCTTCTAAAATACCGAAATATAATATTGACGCACTAGTTGAAAAAAACTTGTTTAAAAAGCATCAAGTTATGATTCGTTTTGAATAGTCCTGTAAAGGCATGAAGAAGTTGTACGGCAATAAAACTGATATGTTATTGTATAAGGCGTGTATTGAATCGAGATGACATAAATTTTTACTGCCATGCTAAATAAAACTCTATCGATTAATCTTTTTGTTATCGGCACATGTCCTTCCCTTTCATGCGTTTCTCACTTTATACTTTTGTCTCTTGCATTTCCTTCTTTCTCTCTCGCCTCTTTCCTATTCTTACTCTCCCCCATCTCTGTCCCTCACTTACACACAAACACACACTCTCTCTCTTTCTTTCTTTCTCTCTCTCTCTCTCTCTCTCTCTCTCTCTCTCTTTCTTTCTCAGCTGTTTGTGAGGACACACATGAGTACTGCGGCGGCAATCCTGGCTGGCCACTCTCCTGGTGTACTGAGGACAGGTCTTACGTACTTACAAACTGCCCCCTCTTCTGTGGATTATGCAGTAAGTAGAACGTTTTGGGCGTGGAATGTTCCGGAAACTCATTGGATTTTTAAAACTTGTACATTTGACAGTGATTCTTAAAAAGGCGAATATTGCTAAGACCTTTCAATTTCGATAGAATTGATTAGGATACATTCTTAATCTTTGATCAAGATGCGAATAAACAGTCACTATGTCTATGATCTGCCATATAAAACAAATATTTCGAACTGTGAAAGCAAAACGTAGGCCTATTCGCCTCAAAACGAGCTTTACACTTAAGAGTCGTTCCTAAACAACATGTAATAAGTAAAAATATTAACTCAAACATGTCATAATGTTGCCATTTTGTTTGATTTGTAATCATATTCCTTTCCATTGTTTTATTGCAGATGCAGCCGATCCAAGTCAGACGTGTGGTAAGATTATTTTAAGAGAATAGAGACAAGGCAGTCTTTTATTTAATGACGATAACGTATTTACATTATCATGACGGATGATGAACAGAAATGTGCAACTCTCGATGTTTCGATAACCGATATGTTTAAAATCATATAGTTCATAGTTATTATACATCCTACTTCATGTCGTTTTCAAAAAATAGACAGAGACTAAATCTGCCTATAAAACGTGTTTTTAGATTACCATCAGGGGTTTCGCTTTACACAATACTCCTCTGTAGATTTAAAAATGATTTTAATTCATTTTCCCATTCTAACACACTTTCATACGAACCTATCAGAAAGCACCTCGGCACCTTCCGCAGCTACGACGTCATCGAGCGGTAGCGGCGATGTGACGACCACATCGAGCGGTAGCAGTGATGTCACGACCACGACTACCACCGTCGAGACGACCACAGCTCAACCGTCCTGTGACACCACTTGTCAGAATGACGGGATCGTCGACGAGACGACATGCGAATGCGATTGCCCCAGTGACTACCAGGGCGCAGAATGTGAACGTAAGAATATATCAAATGTTTGTGCAGATAATCATAAGAATAAGGGTTTTTTTAAAGAACATTTTTAAGAATGTTTTGAGACGGCCGATGGGGAGAGGGGGGATTTCCTGAAAATCCTCACAAAAACACACACAAAATAAACGAACAGAGTGAAAATTGATAAAATCAGCAAAAGTTCTCTCAACTTTCTTATATCGGTAAATGTAAATCATTATAACGTCATCCTGAAGTGAAATATATTAAACGCCCTTCGACAAAGGTGATGAAATGAATGTGTGCCTGGCAGGAGTTAATTAAAATAATTAAAATGATACAGCGACGCATTAGCAGCCATTCTAAAGTCGGGTTAATACGGAGCGTCAGCTATGAAAGACATGAGCGCGATGTAAAATATCATGTTCATACAGGACTAAGTGGATGATTTTTTCTCTTTTATTCTCCTTCTCATCTTGTGTTTGACAGAAACAAAGTCCCAAGTGCGGTATGGCGTAGTTGTACTGGTTTATACAAGTATCAGCCGAGTAAGTATCCCTAACTGTCGCCATGTTATCCATCCCTCAGGGGCGGATGCATGGTTTGTAAAAGAGAGGACTCGATATTAGGAACTAATTCTAACAAATAATTTTAGAAAAGTAAATAGGTCATCACCTAAAAATCAGGGGGGGGGACAATCAACAACATTGTGGAGTTGTGCACACTAAGGTTTCTCATTTTGGTTTTAAAACGTGGGGGGGGGGCATCGATCGGATGTGCCTCCTATATCCGCCACTGCACCCCGCCCTCCCCCCCCCCCCCCCCTTCGGAGGCTTACATGTATCATTTCTTCATATTGGACAGGACGTATAAAACGCATAAGTTGTTGCTTTTATATTACCAGTTTTCCTTACTTAAACATAACTATTTTCAGTCCGGCTATTGTTTAAAAGGTGATGAAGATTCAATTTGAGAATGATCGAACCAAAAAATATTCATTTTAGACTGAAGTTTATCTCTTTTCAAGTTTTGTTTAAGTTCCTTTTTAGATTTTTAAGTTCATCCTGATTAATTCACTTAATTAATTTACAACATACATTGATATTAAATTGAAGGAACTATATGCTGATATAAATAGCAACACCCAGCCTCATCCTACCCTAAGATTAAGGATTAAGGAGCTTCTTTTATTTTTTTCTTCATTTGTTTGTGTAATTAGTGGCCCGATCTCGAGGATATTCTGCTGCGTATAATTGGAGAAATTGTGACGTCATGGTGCAATGATAACTTTGAGATTTGCTGCCCAAATCAGGGAACATTGTCATCATCGTGAGTATTCGCTCCAAGTACCGAACCTGAAAGAAACAGATGCCTGTGTATTTCATACTTAATATTGTGGATTGCAGAGTTTTGGAGAATGTCATTCGATATGAAACTGATGCGACAACTCCTGATTGATAATGAAGATGTTTACCATCACCTGTGACCGTCATAGAAATTGCATATCAAACTGAAGAAAGAGCTAGCAGTACCGACTTCTGCGATACGAATATGAAGCTGTTGATCGTATATTTTTACAGATTAATTATTAATATGTTTCATGATTGATAATATTGTGTTTGAAGGGTGAGCTAATGTTTTCCCATTACGTCCTTCCCAACCAAATCTGCCTATATGAGAATGAAATATTTGACAATATATTTTAGCATAAACCTTTAGCTATATTTTCGAGGGAATACGATCGCAAAGACCTTCGAAGAATCAATCTCTAAAGCAATTTCAATAGCCCTGTCCATTACTTATATTGAAATGAACGAACATTTATTTATCTATTTATTGGAAAATATTTATACAGGATAACAAAATTATCAGCAAAAGCTAAGAGAGATGTGCAGATAAGAGGTGCAGCTAAACGTAATAACTATCTATATTACTGTGGGATAAAAGACTTGAACGAAATTTAAGTACATCGTTAGGTTCGATTTGCGTGAAATTAAATTCATTCAAACACTGTGGATGATTCCAGGCAATATCATCGTGTTCATAAGTATCATTTATTATCTTACCTACGAAAAAAAAAACTCGTTATCATATTACAGTCAATGTCGGCAGAGACATCTTCATTACTTCTCGAAAATTCTTTACGATAGGGATAGATCAAAACCTAGAAACCCTTTTGTCTCCAACAGTAACTTTCAAAATCTTATTTATGCAGATCGTCAACCCTTGGTTACGTCGACGAGACCCATGTTACAGTTGCTGACGGGTTTCCCAGAGAGGAAACGGGGCTTTCATTTGATGCCTTCCGTGTCATGCTCTTGGTGACCCCGCCGGAGACAACCGAGCTCTGCTCAGCCGGATCTGACTCCAACTCTGCGACCAGAAGGAGAAGATGGACTGAATATCTCCATAGCAACGGGATTTCTAAGAGAGATGCATCAGGTAATTTTTATAATCACACTGGGATCTTTGAATTACCACAACGGTTTGGTTTTAATTCTTTCTTAAATTTGTTTTAGGCAATTGGATGACATTATGCGTTGGCGATAACTGCTCCACAATCAATCCCTTTCACGAGTCGAATTTCTAACTTCAACCCTGAACCCAAACTGTACGTAATCCAAACGCTAACCCTGACTTAAACCGAATCCTTAACCCCTATCTTCTATGACAGAAAGTGAGATAAATATAGCCGGAGCAAATGTCGCATCACCGTCAAGCGTTGTCATCCTTTCTGCTAAATGTTTGAACAAACTTAAAAAAGGAAAAAAAGAAGGGGGGCCTTGTGTATAACTGCGTTGCTATAAGTTAAAGTTGCACGATACTACTTGGGCAAAAGATAACGAAAATTCCCTTCGAAATTAAGGAAAATTAAACTTGTTCACTAAAGGCTACTAATAGTATATTCAAAGGAGTAGTAAGGGAACAATTTGCCCCTGAATAGATTTTCGACCAATAAAAGAAAATTCAGCCGCAGGAGTTATTAAGTTATGGAATGATTTGTAAAAAATGATAATGGTAATTTTGCCACTGGAACGCGTGAAATGTTTTAAAAATAATTCTCGGTCGCATAACAGTGATGCCTGGTATTTATTTTCAGGGCACCCCTGCGTGTTAAGTATAATTATGGTGGTTGCCCCCCCCCCCCCTCCCACCGAAGCTAATGTTTGGATACTCCAGTGATTACTAAATTTTGTATCCTCTTTCGTCACCGCAGAAAACTACCTGGATCAGGACGCGCTGTACGAGGCGGTGAGCGAGAACATCGACACCCTGGAAGACGAACTCAATGTCACATTAGGAGAGGTAGTCAAAGGCGAAATCGAACCTGATTCAGGCAGCGGCGGAGGACTAGCCGCATGGGCAATAGCACTCATCGTCGTCGTTGTTCTTTTGGTTGTGGTGATCGTTCTCGGAATAGTTGTATTCATCACTATGAAAGGGTGAGTGATGTTGTTGTTTTTTATTTCCGTATAAAAAATAATCATATACAAATACAAATATACGGCTGGTTGCCCATATTCAGCTGCAACGATAATTGTTGCTGCTGGTCTTCCATGGGGCCAGTTAAAGTTGTAATACTCATTGCTTATGAGGCGCCATTCGCCGACGTACATGTTGGTCTTTTTTTTTTAACCTATGCTTTGCTGCTCCATGTGAAGGTGACATTGAACACAGAGTATGGAACATGATCAATGATCTGTGCAAACACTGCGATGAGTTAGTGGGACATTCGATATCTACCTTCATGGGAATAACCGGCGAAATGGCGGCAAGCATTAGGGGTTAAAAACAATTGCAAAATTTGTATGAAATATAAGAAACAATTATTAACGAATTTCATGATCATCGAAAAAATAAATGCACATTTCCTGGATGTTGACCCTTCTTCATCTTCATGTTTGTTGTTATGCTAAACTGAACCTATAAATTCAAATCGGATAAAAATGTTTGTTGTTTCACGAGATGCAGTAGAATATTTTTCACTTTCTTTGTATACATTTTTTCAGGAAACGTGTCCGAACCGTGTCCCCTGACGTCAAAGCTGAGAGAGATGAAGGTTTGTATAATTGTTGATAGCGTTTGCTAGTAAATAGTTAATAATAAGTACTAAATGTACACAAGCAATTAAAATGTGTACATGAAATGTTAACGTTATAACCATTAGACCTTGTAATTTGTAACAGATCAAGAAATTAAGAAAATTGGAAAAGTTTTAAAGTTTTAGAATCAGTAAGTTAATTGTTCAGGTCTGCAAATGGTACGATTAAGGGATAATCCTCGATAGATTTCATTGACCATTTCTTAATTCTTATAAATAATTAAGAAATGTGAATGCCTTTTATTTTCACAGGAAAGCCCACGTCATCGGCACAATAACAGAGATACTTAGTATGTAGAATACTGTTCTATTTTTATGTTATTTTAAAGCATGCAAAGGGATGGTCTGTGTATTTATTTCACTTTTAACCTTTAAGAAGAGCATGTTTTTCATTTGTCATTCATTTAACATCTGCATTTCTTTTTTAATTTCTTTTCTTATAAATCGTTGTGAACTCAAATAGCTTTTCCTCTGTCATTGCATGAACTCGCATCATCCATTTCATACGGTTGGCCAGTTATCAATATCGGAATTTTAATATCACTCACACTGTATTAGTAACCAACAGATATCATCTCAATTTAAAAAAAAAACTCATTAATCTAAACTCAACATAATGTTCATAAAATTGTATTTCAATGGATGGGATATTGACTGTAAATAACGACTAAACAACGAATTATGTTAAGGAAAAAAGCATCTATAACATGATTTTCATAAGGTACCTTACTGCCCAACACTACGCACATTACCTTTGTCCGCAGGGGAGCATCATAGTTTTAAGAATCCTCGAAGTTTTAAACAATGACCCACTAACAAGGACGGTATAAGTCACTAAAACCACGACCTTTTACTGTTCGAACTTTAAAACTACAAGCTGGGCAAGCAGTTGTTTTAAGTATAAGCAGGCGAAAAGTTTCTTCCGCACGGCTCAACTTAAAGTGAAGAACTCCGCTGCTAGTACAGTTATCGCGTTAACCATAAGATCGTTTACACTTTCCGAAAAACCATGAGTGCGTCTGCAACGATGCTTATACAAAGTCATGTACCAGATGACCTTAAAGTTTAAAGCACGGGCTAGACTTAAAGTTTACGGACTCTATTTAGAAAATTAAACGCTGTTTGGTATTATTGGCATTCATTCTTTTTGAGAATTGATTTACGCCTTTCATTTTTTTTTAATTAAAAAAAAAACTATTTGTAAATTCGTACTCTTCATAAATCATAGTTTTTGATAATAGAATCTCAGATCTACTGGTCCATGAAAACTCCTCACCGCAATTTGCCCCTTCCTGCCAGACCCGGCGCAATTAGTGTAGCCAAGGGATCTTTTTTGTATGATTGTGTTTCTTTACTTTCGAGAGTGTCGTTCTTGAGAAGAATATATCGCACAATATTTTCCCATTTGTTGGAAAATCTTGAATGAACATGTTTTCACCTTCATAACATTGATGGCCATCGGTTAACTAAATGTTTATTTCATCTGGCAAAGGGCTCTTCTCACTCTGATGCAGATTTGATTTGTTGCAGTTAGTTTCATTGACGTGGCTCTATACTCATTACCGTAATAAATGAATCATTACTTTCGAGACCTTTCATTATTCCTATCATATTGGCGAATCCAGGGAGGGGGGGGGGGGGGTGGTTCTGACACGAAAAAAAAAGTGCCCACTAGTTTGTATAAAAATGATCGGGGACGTAGACTTACCCCTGGTTCTGCTACTAACCCATTTAATATCCACCAAATTAACATTTGCATCATACGGTTTTCATTATGCTGACAAGGAAATATTAATATGATATACTGTATTGAAATGTAATGATCATACAGATCCATTTAGTGAGTCGTTCTTTATAATGGAATGCTATGACAATACCAACAAGTTGTAACTTAATATACAATGTTGTAAAGCTGTTGTGCACATGCTGGCTTCATCTTTTAAAGATCATTTGTAATTGTTATTCATTACTTTTACAAACATCTTCTACATACAATTCATTAATCCTCTATATACACAATTAACTCATGAGAACTCGTAAGAAGTGTATCTTATACGACAATATCACCTTACGTTTGATAGTTGAATTCAGTGGCGTAGCAAGGGGGGGGTAAGAGGACAGTTTTTTTGGGGGGGTCTCGAAATTTGAAAATTTGACATTTAAAAAAAAAATTATTTTTATAATTAATTTAAACCAAAAAAAAATCAACAACAAAAAAAAATCACAAAAAAGGGGGGGGGGGGGGGGTTCGCTCCAAAATACACACATAAAAAACTGAAGTGGCAACCCCCCCCCCCCCCCCCCCCCTGCGTACGCGCCTGATTCTAATTATTTATATTCCTCATTTAAATCGTAATGGATAACTGACGATGGTCAAATTGTTATGATATGATAAAGTCTATAATATTCATTTCCCCCGCTTCACTTCGACAGAAACTGGAGGAAGCAAACCAAATGACCCTGAAGACCCAGAGCACACCGAGCAGAAAGGGTCCGACAGAGATAACGATCCTCCACCGATGAGCAGAGCCCAAACCAAGGTTTACCCGGCAGGAGGGAAGCCTCTTAAACTGAGTCCAATCAAGGCGAAATCTAGCGAAAAGGTGCCCAAACTCAAGAAAAAAAATACACTGCCCCCGGTTAAACGATCACAGGCGCCACTAACAAAGAGAGGCAAAAAGAAATAAAAAATTGATCCGCTTCCCCTCTCTCTCCCTCTGTCTCTCTAGCGATCTCCATAATCTGTGCTTGTATCCCTTCTTTCTCCTATCTCTCTTTCTTCCGCCCCCTCCTCTCTCTCTCTCTCTCTCTCTCTCTCTCTTCTCTCTCTCTTTCTTTCTCTCTCTCTTTCTTTCTCTCTCTCTCTCTTTCTCTCTCTCTCTCTCTTTCTCTCTCTCTCTCTTTGCATCGAGGAATTTTGAATCGATTTTTATATGAAATACCACATTTTTATATTCTTGTAAATAGACAATTTGCATTTTAAGACGATGAGGTTCTGTTACGCATCAGTTCGATGTTATTAATCAATAAATAATTTATTTCCGCTTTTAAATCTAAGTAACGATGACAAATTGCTGAAATACTAAAAGTCAGAACGATATACTTCAAGTCATTTATGTGTTCCTCTATATAAGGTGTAGGGCATTGTTGGTTGTCCCCCATTGCTTTTATACAAGGTACTTATAAATTGATATTTTTGTTATATATTTTAAAAAAAAATCATATATCCATTCACACACAAAATCATCTGTGGAATAATATATGACCAGCTTATATATACATGACTCTTGTAAATATCATATAATACAATCTTTGATGAAAATAAAATATGCAAATGTATTAACATATGGTGTCCTTTGTGTCTTCTTTCTCCTACTTTGATGCATGACTGTGTTTGATTATGAACAGAAGACGAGAAAAAAATTATTGAATTTAGTTTGAATAAATGACACACGGTACAGCCGTAATCAGAATATGATTCAATGTCACCCGTCTTCCCCTTAAACCAAGAATAAAATGGTCTATGGTTATATATGCCGTAACTTATTGATTGATAAGTATTAATTATAATGCAACCTTTGTCATGTGTGTTTAGTTTGTAAGTGTCTGGAATGTGTAAGTGCTAAAAAGGGTGAACAAATCCTCTTTTTCTTTTTTTGTTTGCTGTCAATTGCACTTGAAAAGTTTTTTTAAATAAAAAATATGTCTTTATACTTACTTGATAAGTGATATTTCTATTAATGACATTGTAACAAATAGTTTTCTTCTCATAATGTAACCATTTACAGTATGATAATTGAATCGAAAATAGTCATACAGTGCTTTCGTTCAAAATTATTAATATTTCATCAAACTGATATCAAGTTATACAACCCAATTGACAAATAACGACGCAATTACGTCATAAACTCATGACCGAATTACCAATTTATACCAATGAGATAAGGATCGTCCTAAATTACTTAATAATTTTTCAGATTTTTCTCAAACCTATATTTTAATCTGTTAAAACCATGGGCCTCGGCAACTCCAGTATTGGAGTTTGTTTGTTTGTTTGTTTTTATTTTCGAAATCCATATATAGGCTACGTCAAGTTTTAAAAACATAGATATAAAGCAAGTAAATTTGTAAAGTTTAGACAAACGGTTGGATAGCCCATTTTCGAAATGGTCCTGTTCTTCCATGGGGTCCAAAAGCAAAACATCATTTATTTATTTACAATATCAATTTTCAATCTCGGTAATTTACCAATGCACTATCCCCCTCACCTCACCACCCCTCCCGCCACCCTCTCGATCCCGCCAACCCCTCCCGCTACCCCCTTTGAAGTCCTCCAGCGTATATTACAAAGAACAATATACAGTTTTATTTACAATTATAAATGGATTTTAATATTATTCAAAAACATATTTCTCTGTCGTAACATTTCAAACTAAAATTTGTCTTTCTTTATTAAATATTACCAAACTTCTTGATTGCCGAGTATGAATAGGTAACCCATTATACACTTTACTTTTGCGAAACAGAAATGTACGCTTACAATTCTGTGTTTTCGTTTTTGGCATAGTTTGTAGTCTTAAAAATACATTTCTCTTTCATATATACAGGTGCCAAATCGTGAAGAATTGTTTACATCTAAGAATAATTGTGCCTAATTTGCCTTTTTTCTCACATTTCCAAATTTAAAATTTCATGAATGTCATTAATTGGTTTATGTTCAGATAATTCAAGAATTCAGATAATTTAAGAATAATTCTACCAGCCCTGTTCTGTAATGTTTGTAACATGTCTACTTGAGTCTTAGTGCCCGAATGCCATAACACGTCACCATAATCTAAATGTGGCATAATTACGGAATTATATACAAGTTTTAACGTAGTCACATTAACACAATTAAACAATTTTCTAAACAAACTTTTTCCTAACCTTTTTTTACATAATTCATCAATGTGTTTATTCCGTTTTATTTCACAAGCTATAAAAATACCTAGATATTTAAATTTGTCAACTTGAACATTATCATTATTATTCATTCTTAAGTTCAACCTACTGTGTATATTCAACATAATATGTTTAGTGCTTATGAGCATACTAACAGTCTTAATACAATTTATTTTTTCAACTTATTACAATTCATCCAAGACTACAACTTATGCAATTCAATATTCAAAACATTTTCAATATTACAAGGGTCTTTATCTAAATAATATATAACGGTGTCATCTGCATAAAGGTCAATCGAACATTCTTAAAATGAGAGGGCATATCATTAATAAATATAAGAAATAGTATGGGTCTTAGAATAGGTCTATGAAGAACTCCGTGTGTAAGGGGTAGTTCTGACGACAGCGTATTATCAATCGAAGTTACTATGCGTCTACCATTTAAGTAGCTTTGAAAAGGCCCATGTCATCCAAAATACGAATTTATTCCTGTTGGTGTGTCGTCCTGCATACATGTCATATCTTGATATGTAAACTTCTGAATGTGTTTCATAGATTTTTAAATATTTCGTCCTTGTTTTCACGAAGTGACGGTAGTAAGGAAAATCGTAACGCAAAGTGAATGCAATTTTTGTTCACTACCGTCACTTCGTGAAAACAGCGACGATTTTTTGAAATTTTGTCTTTTTCAAATTCGTTAAGCTCTACCCTCAAAATCCTCCAGATCTCCTTCCCCTTGTGACATCATCTGTCAGTCATCAATGAGCTAACTTGAGAAAGTGGTATGCAACTTTGCCAAAGTTGACCACCTGTTACAATACGTAATACAATAGCAACATAAAATTTAGCAGTATGCAAGACTACACACCAACAGGAATAAACTTGTATTTGGATGGCATGGGCACTTTAAAGATGGAGCCCTGTAGACTTTTGCCAGAAGAATTCTGTGGTCCACAAAGTCGAAAGCCTTTTGAAGGTCAACAAAAACAGTGCCTTTGTACATGCCTTTGTCCAGTGACTTTTATAAGAATAGTGATCGTCGATTGATTTGACCTAAACCCCAATTATTGTTTGGCCAAAATATTATTGTTCGATAAGAAACGAGTGAGGAGAAGAATTATACTCTTTCTAAAAGATTCGACACACAAGGTAGAAGACAAATCGGTCTATAATGATCAGGATTAGCTTTATCTTCCTTCATAATGGAATTATCTTGCCTATTTTGCACCTACTTGGAACCACACCTTCATCAATCGACCTATTTATTAAGAATGTAATGCCGTGAACACATGTAGACTTCTTATTTATTTAAAGAAAACAAATCTTTAAGAACATCACCTATATCAAGAGAGGATAATTCAAAAGAATGCGCATAGCAGTCAGGCCTTTCTTCTAAAATAGGAACATATTCATTTGTACATATATCAGCAGCTACATTAGCAAAGTTTTTATTAAATTCATTAGCAATCATTATCATTATTTATATTTTTAATAGAATCTATCGATTTATTAGACAACAATTACTTTTCCAAGAATTTGTACGACTTTTGCAGTCACATATCTTATCAGATTAATATGTGTTTTGTTTTGTTTCTTTATACACCATACAATATATTGTTTAAAGAGAAGGATGAGTTCTAGGGAGACGTGAAAAATAATTGATGAACGTTATCATTGTTATTATGCAAGTGTTGAAGATCATCAGAGAAAAATGTTCCCTTAAAAGCATGGCACTTCGAATGCCTTCAAATTCTAAATATGACAAATAACAGTTTAAAAATGAGGCCCGATTTTTATGCTACATGTTTTGTAGTCCCATACACCTTTCTGTGTACAGTGCTTGTTATTTTACCAATACTGGGCAAATTTTCTTATCATTTGGATGACTCCAGAACCTTGCAGTACACACCAATACTTATATGCTACATTATCAACTGTTTGCGATCGATTCCACACTGCTTCTTTCACAATCTTTGAGCATCATACCTTGCTGTTGGATGTGATGGTCTGAAAATTCATTTACGAGCGAGCGAAGTAAGCGTGGACTTTTTAAAATATAGATTTGTGAGGTCGCAGGGCAGACACTTACATCTTTTAAAGAGAAAAAAACCCAATCCTGATGAGGTTTTAAGCACATTCTCATATTAAACGAAAGACTGAAAAGACCTTTGATAAGTAACATAATCAATAAATGCGAGCGAGCGCGCGTAGCGAGTGAGCTTTGGGGGAAAGTCGCTTGAAATTAGGGGCGCGTTTAATGATGAGAGGAAAAGGAGACACTTATCGAAAGGAATAAGACAATTATAAGAAAAGAAAAGGAGCACGTGTCAAAGTACAAAGGGTAATTATGACAGGTGAAATGAGCACTTCTTACACCTACAAAAAGAGGCACTCACCAGGGATGACAAAAGACACTTATGAGAATGGGACACGGGCATTTGTCGACGGGAAAGGGGCACCCATCCGATTTTGATAGGGGCATTTGTAAGAGGTGAAAAGGGTCATTTATAAAAAGGGGATAGGTTCCTTATGAGAAAGAAAAAGGGGCAAGTATCATAGTTAAACTTGAGGGAAACTATCACAGATGAAAAGGGACACATATTGCAGCTTAAAAAGACCAATGACCAGATATGAAGAGGGGCACTTATGAGAATGAAAAAGGGGGATTTATAATAAATGAAAATGTGCATTAGTTGAAAGAAAAGGGGCACCGATCAGATTTTAATAGGGGCATTTCTCGAAGGTGAAGGAGGCACTTATCTGAAGTGAAAAGGAGTAACTTCTCGTACCTGTAATGGGGCAATTATAACTGAGAAGGGGAAGTGGCTCTCTTTTTTAAATGGGGGCACTTATCATTAGGAAAAGGGGCACATGTGAAAATATAAGGAGCGCTTATCTGAGTTGAAAAAAGGGGTAGTTATTAAAGGGGTAGGGGCATCTCTCAGATTTGAATGGGGAAATTACCAGATGTGAAGGGGGCATTAATCAAAAGTGAAAATTTACACTTATTGCAAAGGAAAATGGGAACTTGTCGAAGGAAAAGGGGCAAGTATCAAAACAAAAGGGGCAATTACCAGAGGCGAAAAGGGGAAGGGGCACTGTTAGAAATTATGTTAATGGTGGAAAAATTGGCTAAAATCTGGAATATTATTTATTGGGGACATCATAGACGCCAAAGGGGATGTGGATATAAATCGGGCAAACAAATTACTTTGTATTAAAAATAATTATTTATGTGAGGTTAAATTACTTTGAAGTTATATACCTCGTGACTGGAAAAGAAAATTAAAATGTGAAACTGGTTTTTGTTTATATGAAAATACACGTCTTCATTACTTTGAAATGACACCAAAAGTATGTCATAATATATCAGTTACAAATATAAAGATGTCACAAATTA